CACAAACATGTACTTTTCTCGAAAATAGGTGTTCTGCAGTTACCACACTGTTATAATAATTGTCTTGATAGACATGGTAATTTTGATCAAGATAGGGATCCAAAACGGAAAGAATAGTTTCTTGTAATTTCTTTCCTTCACCAGAATAAATTTCTAAATTTCCAATATAGCCTGAAGTGCTTTCAGTAACTACATGAACAAGTAGGCCATACTTTGTAAGTTTCCCAGAATTATATGTTCGCATATGAAGCCTTCCCCTCCAAGGAATCACAGATTCATCCAAAGACAGTTGTTGATTTGGCTTATAAACTGTCTGAAATTTCGGAACGAAAAAGTTCAATAAGGGCTGAATTTTGAAAAGCCTGCTTGTTGATTGTGGTTGCAGTTCATTATCATTGAAATGCAAACACCACCAAAAAATGGATCTGTTGACCAATACTCTGTCGGATTATCCCTCCTTGTATGGCCCATTAGAAAAATTATTGCAAAAAATTTTCTCATGTCTGCTGAAGTGACATCCACCCACTTCAACGCCTTATAACTTCTGTCACAATGTTCACGGTGTTGGAGATAGTCTCTGTTAGTTTCCTGACATGGCATGTCAAAGAAACTTATCTCCAAAAAAGAGTTCCGCTACTTCAGACACTTGCGTTGGGTCGGATGGAATTTGCTTCACACCTGGATTTCCAGTAAACTGTCCCAAAGCAGGCATCTTGTCTACTTTTCCCCATGTGGCTGTCCCCGCAATGTTGCTACCCGCACATTCGTTGGAGCTACGGTCACTTTCACTTTCACTGTCTGCTGTCACAATTTTTTGTTCATCCCTGCCACACTCGCTATCAGATTGTGAGTCGCTATCACTAGCAGACTCACAAGGGATGTCAGATAGCTCATTGGAGAAGAAGTCAGATATTTGTTGTTCTCCAAGAAATCCGTTGGGTGTCAACCGCTTTGGTCTTTGATCCATATTGAACTACTGACTGACAGCTTGCTACGTAAAGCTTGAAGAAATAAAGGCATTTATTTTCCTTTGCAGGAGCATAGAGTTACAGCGAGGTCTAGTAACTGATTGGTCAGCAGACATTCCAGAGCGTTATATTGCAACTGCAAGCAGCTACGTGCTAGCTAGGTGGAGCCAGAGAGATGTATAGTGTGTTGCAACTTATCGTGTTTTAAAAACCTGTTAACACGTGAACTGTCTGCCATGTTTAAAAGCGAAAAACTTTTAAAGGGTGTGCGTTCCGCAAAGTGTTAAGGGAGGAACTGAGGGTGTTTTAGAACAGGATGGTGAGGAGAATATTTGGTCTAAAGAGAGATGTAGTGATAGGAGGTTGAATAAATTGCATAATGAGGAGCTTCATAACTTGCACTCTTTGCCAAATATAATTAGAATGATCAAGTCAAGGAGGATGAGATGGGCAGGGCATGTAGCATGAATGAGGAAAAAGAAGAAGAAGAAGAAGAGTACTTTTGTATACTAGTGTAAAAGCTAGAAGGAAAGAGACCACTAGGAAAACAAAGATGTAGGTTCTTAAAAATGGATCTTGTATAGGATGGGGTAGTATGGACTGGATCGATTTGGCTCAGAATAGTGACCAGTGGAGGGCTCTTGTGAACCTTCAGGTTCCTTAAAATGCTGAGTAGCTGGACAGTAGGTGACTTCTCAAGTAAGGCTCGGCTTCATGAAGTTAGTTTTTAGTTAGTAATTATCAGTTCTGTCCACACCCTTCATGTATTGTATTCTGCGATATAACTGGGCCTTATTACCTCCTCTGTCTTTTTGTCTTCTGTCTTGTCTCAGGAATTTCTCTAGTTATGTGCGCCATCCACTTTTATTTCCAAATTTGTAATTAAGTATCATCATTTCTGCCCTCCCCTCCAGAGAACTGCCTTTTCTTCATGTTTTTGGCATTCTTTTTAAGAGTTTATGCAGTTTCTCTATTCAGAGTCATGGTGCAATAAGCTGTTGTTCTTTGCAACAAATTTTTGCGCAGTTTTACACTTGTTTAAAAATTTCCCTGGCAAGTGTGGTGATATAAGCACCATATTATTTAAAAAAAAACTGAGAAACTGTTGACTATTTACTTCTCAGGTGGTATATATATCTCTGTGTTACATGTGTATCAAAATTTAGTTTCCCCACACCATTCTCATCAACAGTCCACACTTCGTAACTTTCCTGGGGTTATATATTCTGATGGCCTCTGCATGGGATCATGCCTTAATACAGTGAGAGTTCTCTGTGTGAGCTGTAAAACTGATCTGAACTTGTGAAGGTCATATTTCTACAGAAAAGGGAAGATTCATACAGAGAGTGAATTTTTAAAAATCTGCCTGAGCCTTGTGTGTGTGTGTGTGTGCGCGCTTGCTGTTTTTACTGAGGTGCCAGGCTTGACTGATGGCCAGAAAATGGTTTCTACTCATGGTCTGGGACAGAACTGGTGCACATATGAGGGAGCTAGTTGACCAGTAGTCTTTCGTTTCTGAACCAGTGAAGTTGGATGGACCAATTCTCTGTTTCTGGTAAAATTTTCCATCAGTGAGGATCCTGACTGTGGTGAAGACTGGAGAGGTTTGTAGAAAGTTGTATGGGTTCATCACCAATTGCAGCAGTGACCACTTCAGTAACACTGTCAGGGTTATCAGTAACTACATTCAGTTCTGTGGTTCTGAGAAATGGCCCATCACTCGCTTTGAAATCAGTCTTATAAGAGGCACCTTGTCATTCATCATCAGAATGAATGCTTGTTTTCGATCAAAACCCTTCACCTTCATTCATCTCTGCTGTGTGATTCAACTAATCTGTTCAAAATTTCAACAAAATATCATCATTGGCTGTAACTCTACTACCCAGACCCATGTTTGGTAACTAACTAACTAGCTTAACACAATGGAGCTGAGTTGTCCTTGAGAAACCACCAGTCACACAGCTAATCAAAAAATATCCAGCACTTCAAGGAATTTGAAAGTTCATTACCACTTTCACAAGAGCCTTCCATTAGTCTCAATTCAGAGCCAGATGAATCCAGTCCATGTCATCCCATCCTATTTTTGTAAGATCCATCTTAATATTATCATTCTACTTATATGTAAGTCTTCCTACTGGTCTCTTTCCTTCCAGGTTTCCCTCCAAAAGTGCTGTATTCATTTGCTTCTTCCAATGCATGCCAGATGTTCTCCCCATCTTCTCTTTTACTGATTATTCTAATCATATTTGGAGAAAATTACAAGTTATGAGCTCCTTGTGAAGTTGTCTCCAATCTCCTACCATTTCATCCCTCTTCAGCTCAAATATTATTCTCTGTACCCTGTTCTCATATACCTTCATACCAAAAACCCAGTAATTCTGTACCTTCATTCTGCTACAAATATTGTATTGTAGCCTCATACTCTGTGTGAAACTATCTAATATTTGGTCCTGTCACCACAGTTATATCCAGATATACTATATGTTTACATTGATCTGGCTCAGGATATGGACTGATGGAGGGCAATGAGCCCTGGGTTCCATGAAATTTTGGGAGTTCTTGATGAGTTATAGGTCATACATTACATGTTTCAGCCTTTTTGGCCATCACGTAATATACTTTTTTTTTTTTTTTTACATTCGCCTTTGTAGACAAGAAGACAAAAGCTTCTGAACTGAATGGTAGCAAACATTACCTGAATTCAGGCTGCTGATCATTTCCTGATGAGTCAAATTTTGATTTATTACTGTTGTCCCCAGATATTTGAACTTCACCACATTTTCAGAGGATCGATCATCTGTTAGCTATCTCTGTGTTATGACTCTGCCACACTGATGCTTCCCAGTAATTTCATCTACATATGGACTTAGCTTTAAGAGAAGGGTATTGGATAAAATTTTATATGAAGTTGATAACAGTGATATGCTTCAATAATTACTGTAGTCAGTTTTATTGCCCTTGTTCTAAAGTGGTGCAATAATGGGCTTCTTCCACTAACCAGGCAATTCTTCCTTATTCCAAATAGAATTAATGAGTTTATGGGTCTCAGACCATAATGTTTCACCTCCTGCAAAAATATATTCTGTGGGAATTTCATCAGTACCTGGTGATTTGTACTTTTTCAACTTTGCGTAAGCAGTTTCAGCCTCAAAAGTACTGATGGCTAGCTGTAATCCCATTTGCCTAACATCACTCATCCTATATACATGTAATAACTGAGAATAGTAATTCTTCCACTGTTCAAAATGTGGGAATCTGCAAGCAGATCACCATTCTCATTTGTTACCAAGTTAGTTCTAGGTTGGTAATCCTTAAATTCATTTATTGCTCTTTGTGAATTTCTAATGTTCTTTTTCTGACTGGGTTTTGCAAGCTCATTAATTTTATCCTTCTTTGCTCTTGAAGTTTTTGCTAGCTTCATATCTTACATTGTGCAGATTTTCCCCATTTTTTTTGGCTTGGATCGTGGAACCATTAAGTGTGGCTTGTTTCCTTGAATCTAATAGTTTTGAACGTCCCTTATGAAACTGTGGCTTTTGCTAGTGCATTTCTTAATGAGCTGGAGCCTTTGGCTGACATGTTAATATTCTCTCTAATGGTTCCTGAGCTCTGTTAATATCAGTATCACCATCAAAGTTGTTTCTTAGAGAATCACAGATGAATGGAGGTAACAGAACAGACTGAAAGCATTGTATTGCCTTGTTATGGCATCTGAAGTCATGGATTTCAAGTGGTTTGTATTCTGGGACCTGTGAGATTTGAATGGTATAGAACTGTTGCACATAGTTTGGTATCCAGAGGCATAGATACCTTTTTTTTTTTCTGTTTGGGAACCAAGCAGCAATTAAGGTGCATAATTGGTTGTTTATTATTATGATAAACATCTAACTTCAAGCTGCTAACAACCTTGAGCTTATGTCAGTCAGGTCAGCACTCACATGATGGAGAATGGTGTGACACAGCTAACAGATATGTAGATCTACATGACCCATACAAAACTCATGGGATTTTAAACTATATTTCTGATTTCAGGATGGTTGGAGTGTGGTTGCTGAAGACAGTGGCCAGATTTACACTGACGTGGACCTTAGTGAAAAAGAATGGGTGGAATGGGATGATAAAATGAAACGCTCTGTTGGTATATACAATATTGAGCATCAATTTGTTCACATCAAGTGAAATAAATGAACTTAGAAAATTTGACATCTCAGAGTCTGTATTTTGTCCTTGTAAAAAACTTTCATAAATTAATAGATAACATTTCTGTACTAAAACATTCATTTTTTTTTATGCTGAGCCCTTCAATCAGAATATGACAGTGTAAACTTGTCACTTCACAATTTCAGTACGTTAACATTTCTGTAAACAATTACTAATGTAGGATCACATAAAAGGAAGTCCCTAAAGGTTAGTATCTCATTTAATTTATGATATATGATCGACCTAATTGGCCGGAAAACTTGGAAGTGGAACTGGAAGAAGTAGATACAGACGAGAAAGGTCCATATATTTTACAAAGTGGAAAAAGCTATCAAGGAAATGAGGAAGGGAAAGGCTACAGGAGATGATGATGTACCTGGAGATGTGCTTAAGTTACTGGGAGAAGGTGGTTTGAAAACACTGACAAAACTAATAAACACCATATATGAAACTGGGGAGTGGGCCAAGGACTTTACAGAAGTGACAATGACTGCCTTAAAGAAAAAGACAGAAGCTACAAAATGCAGGGATAATAGCAAAGATACTTAAAAGAAGAATTGAAAGGAAAATAGAGAATATACTTGGAGAGGATCAGTTTGGATTTAGAAGAGGAAAAGGAACCAGGGATGCAATTGGGATGATGAGAATTATAGCGGAACGAACTTTGGAGATAGATGAAGAACTGTGTG